CTCTGTCACCTCCTCCAGCCCCCTCCACCCCCTCCCTATCTCTGTCATCCCCTCCAGCCCCTCACTATCCTGGTCACGTCCTTTACCATTAGTTGTTGTGCATTTTGGTTTCAGGAGAAGCCCAGTTGGTTTCTGGTGCTGAAATTGAGTCTATTTTTGACAGTCTCCTTCGGCCACCGTTGAGGGGTTCTGACTCAGTGTTCCCTTGTGACTAATTTGCATAGTTTTGGAAGATGCCGGTGTCCGCGGATTTGAGAGGGATATCCCAGCGGAGCCCGGTCTCTACCTGAGGGTGCAGTGCCTCACACTGAAGGTTCACTCCCGCTTGTACCAGAGAGTGCTCCTGTATTCCCAGAGAGCTCAGGAAGTGGCCCTGACTGACATCCTGTTGTTGATGGAGCTATTTGACTGGGTGAGTCCTCCCTCTTCGCTCTCCCTGCCACCCCACCCCACCCCGGCCACAGACAGAGCACAGATCTGTTGCTGGCAGAACCCACACTCAGGCTGTTTCATCAGCCCCTCACTCTCAAAGTACCACTCCACGTCTCTAACCCAAGCCCTCAGAGACTGCATGCCCTTTCTAGCCACAGATCCTCACCACCACCTTCCGTCTTTCTCTCTCTTTTCCCTACTGTCTCTTTCCACTGTGTTCTACCGCCCAATCTCTCTCATTCTGTCTCTCTTTCTTTGTCCCTCTCTTTCTGCCTCTTTCTTTCTCTCTCCTTCTCTCTCTCTGTCTGTCTCCTGTGTTCTCTGTCTCCCACTTTCTCCTTTTGTCGTTGTCTCATTCTTTCTCTCTTTCTTGCTCTCCGTTTCTTTGTGCCGCTGTGTCCCTCTTTCTCCGTGACTTGCTCTCTCTCTCTATTGCCTTTGCTCTTTCTCCCTCACCCTCTCTCTCTCTCACACTGTGTCCCTCTCACTTTATTGTTCTGTTCCTCTCTAGTCTGCCTCTCTCTCTCACAGTGTCTCTCACTCACTCTCGCTCTGTCTGTATGTGTGTTTCTGTCTGTCTCTCCTTCCTTCACACTCTCCCTCTCTCTACCTCTCTGTCTCTCTCTTTCTCTGTCTCCCTCTGTGTCTTTCTGTGTGTCTCCCTCGCACTGTCTCTCTCTCTCTCTCATTCTCCCTCTTTCTAAGTCTGTCTCTCTCTGTCTCTCTCTCTTTCTGTCTCTCTCTCTCTGTCTCACTCTGTCTCTCCTTCTCTGCCACACTCTGTCTCTCACTCACTCTTGTTCTGTCTCCCTCTCTCTCTCTCACTCTCCTTCTGTCTGTCCCTCTCCCTCTTTCTAAGTCTCTTTCTCTCTCTCTCTCTCATTCTGTCCCTCCTTCTCTGCCACACTCAGCCTCTCACTCGTTCTGTCTCCCTCTCTCTTACTTTCCCTCTCTCTCTCAATCTCCCTCTGTGTCTGTCTGTCTCTCTTTCGCTCTGTCTCCTTCTCTGCAAACAGTCTCTCACTCGCTCTCGTCCCGTCTCCCACTCTCCCTCGCTCTCCCTCCTCCTAGCTGTCCGTGTGTCTCTCGCTCTCTCCCTTTCTCTGTCTAACTCTATCTCTCTCTCTTTTCTGTCTCTCTCTCTCTCTCCCTGTGTCTCCATCTTGCTCTGTCCCTCTCTCCCCTAAATGTCAAACCTGCAATGTAAGATATCTCCTCTGTGTCTCCCTCCCACATGAAGAATATCACAATCTGTGTCACCCAAACTAATATCCCACTTCCGGGAAAGAAATCCACAAGCTGGAGATTGGGGGGGGTGTGCGGGGAGAAGGAGCTATTGACAAACAAATGGCTGATATGCCATGAGGGGCATCACACTCTGATCCCTGCAACTCAAGTTCATGTTTGTCAGAAGAGAGGTGAAGAACATTTCTGTCTAAAAGAGACAATCCCCGACAAAGCAGAGGAAATTTGATTAATGTCAGGTTTCAATCATGGGGTCTGAAGAGGTTTTTATAGATGCTATCATCCAGACAGCTGTTGCAAGTCTGCAACAAGTCCACTGATAGGACACTGATAAAGATCAATCAGGGAGGTTTTCTGTGTTTTTAGCACACTGTTATCGTGAGTAACATCTGCGTTCTGATCTAATTTCCCTCTCTTCATCACGTACACACTACGGTGGCAACAACGACTGTG